GATAAGACTTAAGCAACCCTCCTCTTCTCATAGGTTTAATTTGTCTAATTCAAAAACAGCTTAATAGAAAATCATGATCAGAAGTCTTCCTATTTTGGCAAACTAAGTTGCAGAAATTATTTAAAGGGATCTTTTGATCATGAAAATACTAATTAATAATGAGTGAGCATTAGTGAATATTCCCACTAATGGGGAAGAACAAAAATATAGCGAAGCTGAAAAATGCCTGACAATTTAAACGAGTCTTGTAACATCTACTCAGTTTAATTTGACTTTTCACTAATTTGTGCTACACTGCGTTAGGTACTGTATTTAAATATTGTATTTTTTACTAATTTAGTTGTAAGGTTTTGTGTACAAAACATAATATTAAATAGAGGTAAATGTGAGAATGGCACTGAGGAATCAGCCTCTCTGATCTGGAAGTGATACATTTACACAGCTTGTAGCATCCGGAAATCCTTACCACCGGGTTGTTTGCGGACCCGTGTGGCACAACACTGGTAATCTCACACGAGTGTGGGGTGGGGCTGCGACCCCATCAGAATAACGCCTCATTCATACCTTTGCTGGCGATCTCCACAATGGTTGTGCATCTCAACAGGGTTGGATCTGTAGCTGCTCTCAGGTTGCGGGTGCTGGCATGTGGGAGCTAAGCAGACCCCACCAGAGCTGTACCCTTCGTAGGTGTATGTATTCTGGATTGCAGTCCCCTCTAGTATCATTTCATACACCTACTTTTTTGAGTTTTTTTAAATGCATATTGTTCATTTCTTGAACTAAATACATGTAAATCCCTTCCCTTCACCAAGTATTTATGGAAATACCCAAGAGCAGCATCTGTTTCAAAATCTTTACTACTACACAGAGAGCAAATACGCCGTATTTGACACAACGCTTCCCTTTGCTAACTTGAAATGTGAAAGAAGACATGGGAAATTCTGTGATGCATCTCTTGGGGATTTGCCTGATCATGTTTACATTTGGTGCGTCCCACCGACCTAGTGTTCACCCTGGGTCAGAGCCTTTCCTTTAATGGCTTCTGTTTCGCTGGCCATGTTCCTGGTTGGCATCATAGCGTATTTTAGAACACGGATTTCTTTTTAGAGACACGAAACATCTTTGGGCTCTTAGGTCTAAGTAGAGATTGTTGTAAGTAAAAATGGATGCAAATGTAGTTGGTTCTGCAAAATAGCATTTGTGTTTTGAAATGAAGCAACATTGTGTGGTGTTCAAAACTCTTACAATCACTTTCTATGAATATTTGTGCAGTTGGGATTTACTAGCCAAATTGAGGTAGAAAGGAATTTTTAAGCATGAATATCAAATCACAGAGTACATCTTCAGCTAAAAAGAAAACAGCCGGTGGTGTAAAGATATCATAATAATGCCTTTACATGTGCTGAAGCTGGCATATGGCCAGAAGCCTTGGGTGCCACCAAAGGTTTTATTAATCCATCGCAGCTATTGACAGGTGGTGCGGTTCAAGACGTCCCTTAAGATTTGAAGCTCTGTGAACGAGTAACAAAGAGGAGTTTAGCTGCTGCAGTTTGCAGCAGATGTGACCTGTTGTGGGATGCCCTGTGTCATTGGAAATGCAAAGATGCACTGAAGTTATCTCGGACTGTTCGCTCCTCGGCATACTAAATGCCTCTCTAAAGTATTTCAGAATCTGAGCTATAAAGTAATTTAAATTCAGAAAGGAAGATAATAAAATAATGGATGATAGAAAAAACCTCTATATAGTATAGACTGTTCCAAAGACCATGAAAGACTTTATCAAATACCTTTTACAGTAGAATTCATTTGCCTTACCACAGGGAACAATTGTGATCCTCACATCTAGACAATAATAAAATCTGAAAATGCTTCCCCTCCTCCTCCTCATACCCACAGTATTCTGATGCTGAAGCTTTATACCTTGCCCCAAATTGATCATCATTATTCTTTAGTTTATTCTCCTGCCCATCTCCTGGATCATTCCTGCTCCTGTTTATTGCTTCTCTCTCTTTCCACTGATTCCTGTTCAGTCATTTCAAGTCCAGATCCCAACGGAAAGCCCTATGTAGATCACCTGCTGGAGAACTGAGGAAAATTTTGTCCAACATTGAACAAGTAAGACATTCTCCAGACCAGCTTCTCTGCTTGCCTTTCTGCCCAGTGCTGGAAATAAAATTTTGGCATAAAAGTCTCAAAAGATTTAAGTAATCTCAGTCTCTTTATTTGTGTAAATTTGTGGTTTTAATGTTATAGCTTCAGGGCAGCCAGTGACAGGCTTGAATGTTTGACCTCTCAGTCTCAAAAATAAACTGTTACTTAGCCATTTAAAAATAAATTCTTGTGGGGGGAAAAAAAAAATTTCAAAATTCAAGTTACAAATACAATGAAAATTTGTTGATTCCAATTCTGCAAGTGCTTTACAATTTACTGCCCTGCACAGCCTATAAATCTATTAACTGAGGCTAGCTACTACCCAATAGTTAGTGAATTAAGAATAGCCAAACACAGCATTGAGTTATATTCTTACCTTTTTAGCTTCCTGTCTCTGTCTTAGAGTAAAACCTTGTCCATGGGAAGCAAACCAGAACTTTAGATTACAGCAGAGCTGTTCAGCTGTAATGACAAAATAGTTGATGGAGAAGCTTAAAACTATAGCTCAACTCTAGGATTTGCTTTGAATTTACATTTACAATGAATTTACCATTTTAGGTATCAAAAGTGTATTAAAAAGTTGTCTTAGATCTGAAAACAGGCCTAAGACTTTTAGAGTGAAAGTGCTAAATGAACTCTTAGTAGCATCTTGGTAATATTCCGCATTGAACCACCTTACGATGAAGAAGGATGCTATTGTCTCGTGCAGCTGTGTTGAATTTGGTTTGTCCTCAGACCTTCCCCAGACCATGTAAATTAGCAGGAGGGCTACTGAGATGAAGTTCCTGCTATTTGCAAGTTTGAGAAAGAAGAGAGAGTACATTTCTCCACTCCTGACAGGAAAAACCCTCACCCACATGGATTTTAAGACCTAGTGGAAAAGGTTTCAATCTGTGGAGGTTTTTGAATACAACTAAGGAGTAAGCTTCCATCTTTCCGGGACCTACTGAACCTCAACTCAGACGAGCAAAGTTGTACTAGGTGCCTTCTGCTCTGGCGCCTATGTACTCTGTCTTTGCTACTTCTCAAGTAGGATCCTACTACCTTCAAAATTTAAAATGCCCCAAAGCAACAGTCTTCCAAGAGGCAATTGTCTGCACGCCGTTCTGTGTGTGTTTATTCAACTAAATGCAAACACGTACATCAAGTTCGGGGAATTATTTTCTGCAGCTAAATTGGTGTGTTTCCAGCAAATGCTGAGAATTTGAAGATGGAGAATGGAGGATATAAGCCTGTTTGTTAATGCAGTTTCACAGTGAAGGTGTTAGAATTAGCAGAGAAAGAAAGGGAGAGAGAAAATCGTGGAAAAGCTTCATCTATCTCCTTATTGCCTCCTGAGATAGATTGTTCAGAGCTAAAGGAACACTAGACATGAACCAAATCTCCTGCTGTCCTATATAGCTTTTACAATCTCCTTTTTAATAACCCAAACTGCAGGGTAGTCTGACTATTAGACAAGCCGTTCTTTTGAATTCTCTCTACAATGTGTATAGACACGATAAAAAAAACAATTCTCATTAAAGCTGCCAATGCTGTTTCAAAAGCAGGTGGTTTAAAATGTTTCCTATACAAAGCAAAACACATTTCTTGTGCGTTACACACTGCTTAATAGGGAGTGTAAGATTACACTGCTATGTTGTGTATAACGCTGCATTTTAAATAATGGGATATTGTAAGTCATGTTGGAAATATGTTTAACATGAATATGGAAGATATAATGATATGCACTGAGCAATTTTCAGAAGTGCTGGAACACAGCCTTGTGTGACAACCTCTGAGCTAAAGTAGTTGAAAATAGAATCTGGAATTTGAGATTATACAGTCTCTGATCCTAACTGATTATTTTTCTAGGATACTGTTCAGTCAGCACGTGGGTATATGAAAGAGAAGATTTCTACTGTCCTGTGGGAATGTTTATTGTTTATATTGTAAATTAAGGATGGTAGGGATCAAGTGCATTTTCATTTTTTACTCAAGTCAGTAGTTTGTTTTGGGCTGAAGTAAAAATTGTGATATACAGCTCCATCCCTAAACTGTCTGTTCATATTTGTTTCCAAATCAGTTCTGAAAAAAAAAAAAAAATCCCAACAACCAAACCTCACTGAGGTCCAGTTATACTTTTGTGTAAATTCAGAGTTTGCCATTCAGTTCAGTGGGAACAGATTTTGGCCCCTCAGTGATGTGAACATTTCACTCTGTAGGTGTTTTCAGCAGCCATCAGAAACTTCTGGAGTAAGAAATCCATATAAAGTATGGTAATTCAGGTTATCGTGAATAAGCACCGTAATTCATGTTATCCTTACAAATATATTCTAGTTGCCTCAATGTTTGAATCAGAAGTTGTATTTTAAAATGAACAGAGAAAATGTTTGTATGTATTATAATCTGTTTTTAATGAAATAAAATGCATGTGAATCTTCAGTCTGCCTATCTTAATTTCACTATCTTCTCCTTTAAGAAATAATTACTTTCATTTTGATAAGTCAACTTGTGTAAACAAGGTAAAAATTGATTATGAGCTGATTAAGTTAAAATATTAACATAAACACTTACATAATGTAGCCTGGCAGCAAATTGCTTATTCTTAAAAAGGTGAATTTTAAAAATGTATTTTCTGTGAGCCCTGTTTCTTCTGAAATATCTCTGTAAATTCAACAGGGGACGTTATAGATAATCCAGTAATCAGTGTTTCACCCGCCATTTCATGGACCCATAAACTACTGCAGTTTTACTTACATGACTCTAGCAACTATTAATGTATGTACGTAACTTGTGAAACATCTAGTTATCACTCTGCTCATATTAGCTCTTTCATACTAATGATTTATTTTCATTTTCTCTAGGATATAGACCTGCGGCTAACTGGATTTGATTTATAAGAGGGGATTCTGCAGTAAATGGCTGCTCTCTTCATATTGCTGCTATGGAAAACAGAATTGTCAATAGGATGTAGTCTGATAAATAGTGCTGAGTGAAGATGCAGCTTCAATAAGTGTGAAATCAATGGAAGATACTTACCGCATGAAAAGCCTCTTGAGATTTTTCTGACAGGCACCTATTTAGGAAACTTGATCTGTTTCCTTCGGTTGCCCTGTTTTTACACCAGTGGATACAAATCAGATTGCTTCACTGTAGTTACACAACTAATGTGGGACCATGGCCTTTCCAAGATCCATGTGGCTGAACTGTGTATGGAGAGCGATGATAGTCCGCCTGTTACACATGGGATTGAATGCCACTTTTGCTTTTTGTATACTTGGATTTTTGCTTCACGCTGCAGCTGTGTCCTCCCAAAAATTGGATGATACCAACCCAGTGGTGACCACCAACTTTGGCAAGATAAGAGGGATTAAGAAGGAACTTAATAATGAAATTTTGGGGCCCGTTATTCAGTTTCTTGGGGTTCCGTATGCTGCCCCTCCAACAGGGGAGCGCCGCTTTCAACCTCCTGAGCCTCCGTCTCCCTGGGCAGATATCAAAAATACCACTCAGTTTGCTCCAGTGTGTCCCCAGAACATTATAGAAGGCAGGTTGCCTGAAGTCATGCTTCCCGTGTGGTTTACTAATAACTTGGATGTAGTTTCCACCTATGTACAAGATCAGAATGAAGACTGCCTCTATTTAAATATCTATGTCCCAACCGAGGATGGTGAGTTAATAGCAGGCGAAACAGGGAGATCTTTTTATTTTCCTGTTCTACGTTCTAACAGTATTAATTCACGTGTACTGGTAGCATGCATGGCTTTCTTTGTTTGCATGCCAGCATTTTACATGTACGCATGCTGCTTTTCTGTGTATGCATCTGTCCTTGGGGGTTTTTTTTCTTTTTTCTTTTTTTTTTTTTTCTTTCTGTCTACACTCATTTTTTTTCTTCCGCAGCACGTGTATTTTTAGGTCAAAGTTGGTACCTAATTCTCATTGCCACCCACTGACTTTTGGGAAGATGCATCAACATCTTATCCATTGCATGTGCAGGCACAAGAAGTTGAGAATCTTCCGCACCTAATAAAGCAGGTCATATTTAAGTTAGATAGTGGTGTTGCATGCTCCTACTGTCTGTGATGGAGCTCCATGTTATTTTCTAGTCTTCTATTCATTTTTCAGTCAAAAGAATATCCAAGGAATGTGCCAGAAAACCCGGCAAGAAAATTTGTAGAAAAGGAGGTATGTATAAAGTGGACAAAAAAATAATGGGGGAAAGATCGAAACCTTGCAGAGGAAGAACGAATAATACAGCTGAAAGAGGCTGATTTGCTGATGCTGTGAACTGTTAGGGACTATCTTGTCCTAATGAAGCCAGAAAGGTATTTAAAGAGAGGACCGTGTAAAGCAGATGAGAAGATAACATTTGTAAAGCCTGAACTCGGTTGCACCTGATCATCTCTCTTGCACTATCTCACGTTGACCCTATTGGCAGCTTCTCTATCTTGGCCTTGGGCTTAGAGGAGCGTCTGCCACTCGTACGTAGACACAGTACGTTGTACGTGCATGCATAGGAGGTAGCTCGTGTGCCTGGGGCCTGGTCCTATTGCCATTGAAGTTGCTGGCGCAACTCCACAGCTCGCTCTACATTCCAGTGGTGTAGCACAATGGCTGTTACGTGCTGTAGCAAAGCAGAGCTGAAAATCTGCATTGACTTCCTACGTGATACGCCCTGTTTTCTTGGAACAGTGTTAACTTTACTGAAACGTAGATGTGAAACACTTTTTTTTCACTTACACGTTTCGAAAAGTGAGCACTGATTTCCTTTATTATGTGATTACAGCTCTCTTTGTAAAGCCAAAAATCTCTTAATGGGGGTGTAGGAAAATGCTAAAATATTGTGACATGGTACTTTGGAAACTAGGCTGCTTTTGGAAGCTTTGGAAACTTGGCTTCTACCATTTTTGTGTAAGATAGTATGGGAGAATTTGCAGATTTCTTTGCGAACATTTGCAAATTCCCAAAGCAATTGATATAGAAGGTATATTTTGGTACTGATTTAAAGGAGGTGTTTGGTACTAGTTTAAAGTACAAATTTTGTACTACTCTATACGTTTGTTTTACGTCAAATTAGTTTTCTTTATTGTTTTCTTTAAAATAATGTGTTATTTAATAGCTGGACTATATTTGAATCGGGAATACTTTTTAGGGTGAACAAAGACTTGTGTGGACGTACACGGTTGCCTATTAGCTGTAATCCATATTTTTTATATTAGTTGCTATGTGTCCCTGTTATTCCAGAGCAAAGACATTTTAGGAAAGCGTCATAGCACGAAATTGTTTAGAGCTGGGCAAAGGTCAACTCTGTAGCCCCTGTTTTAGGTTTTTAAGGTTATATCTAGGCATCTAAATGAAGGTGGCCTTATTTCCCAAGGTTTTTGCTCTTACAGCTCCTACGGACTGTTAGTTGTAGCAACTTGTTAATTATTAATTGTTAATTGTAGTTGCTAAATGAATGCTTTTTTAGATGTCTAAATCCATGTTCGGTGACTTAAGGCAATTTGTTTTGAGGTTTTGAGGCAACTTTTAATGTTTTCTGTTGGGGAATTTTTGCTCAGTGCTGTAAAAACACAGTTGTTTAAGCTGGATTCCCAAAGTTGGAAACAAAGATAATAGGGGTACTGTGAGCAACGTCACTTCTTCACACATCATTCAAGTTAGAATAACTGCTGTCATTTATATGCATTCAATTAATGTGCAGTGCTGCAGCAGTTATTACGCAGTTCATCAAGCGTGTGTAATTAGCTGAGCAACTTTCACTTCCTATCACCCAGACACTGATTCACAAAGTCATAAATAAAGATGCAGATCTCCATCATTGTTCTCAGAAAGCATCTTTTCCTAGGAGAGAATATTAAAAAAAAAAAAATCAGAAAAATAACAAAAATAAAGGGAGGGAGAGCCCAGTAGATGAGAAAGTCATGTTTATTGTCCTGTGAGCCTGAAGGAGAATAAAGAGAGAGTTATTTGAAATTCAGTAGGTACCTTTCCAGTTAAATTCATTGCACAAGCAGCACAATAAAAAGCAGCAGCAGCAGCCTACCTTTTCCCTTTGACAAGTGCAGAGAACTCCTGAATACCTCCAGCCTGGGCAGTTGGCAGAGCTATAGTAATCTCTGTCCTCCGAGTAACTCATGCTCTACTCACCCGTATGTAACCTAAGATTGTCCTTGGCTTGGATTGCCTTCGTACCTAGTAGTAAAAGGAATCATGTTGTAGAAATAAGGTGCAATAGAGTCACGGCATCTTGGCAGCAACAGCAGCTGGGAAATAGTATTGGGTTTTGTATGAAAAAGAAAGGCCCAATATTCTCCGTTTTGCTGGATTTTTAGGTTGCAGTCGTTTCATTACATTTAGTAATGAAAATTACTGGAAAGAGAAAATACAAAAATAAGAGGCAGACTTTTACACCATCTTTTTAATTAATGAAGGATGTGTAAATTCAGCGTGACTGAACCAACAACCGTATACTATCGTATATATTTTTTGATTTTTATTACATGAAATAGATTGAATTAGGTAAATAATCTATACATAATTGTCAGCTGAGGAACGCGAGAAAATTCCAATTTTGAAGAACCAGGGAGTAATCTGATGAAGATAGATGCAGAAATGAAAGGAATTCTATCCATGAATCATGCTAGAGATTGTAATGAGCATTATAACCATGACTGCCTGTTGGGGGGATTTGGATATACGCACTGCAGACACTACAAAATGATAGGCTGGAGCTGGCCGAAAAGGAACGAGACAATATGGCATGCTTTTTGCTAAATATGGATGCCTGTATTTCAGTATACTTCATCTTCAGTTTACTGATTCAATAGATAAAGAAAGGTTATCTGTTTTTGTGTCTTTTGCTTCAGATAGGTGAAGGTCAGAGGTTACGAATTCTGTTATGGAAATGCATACAAGCAGAAACCTCTCTGTACGCTAGGGCTGGTTTTAGAAAATCTGTGCAAAGGCATCTTAATTAATTTTGTGTTGTTTTTTTAGAGGCTAGACTTCATAATTCTAAATTTTAATAGAACCTGAGTTATATTGTAGGTAACACCATTTTACTGACTGATAGTAATTATATTGTTGATTATGCGGTATTTCCTGAATTTCTTGACAAACTTTTGACTCACTTCTAGGAAATAACTGAATAGTTTTGCACTCTGCTTGGTATTTTAGATCTCTATTTTACTTTACAGTCAAAGCACAAATATTTCACTTGTGATCCAGAGTGACAGGGGAACTTATTATCTCTTAGGAGGACTATTACTCCTGCTTTAACTGCATGCCTGTGGTTTTTTAATACTCTGTCAATTTCTTTGCATTGCAACAGTTTGTACCATGAATTTCCTACTTTAGTGACAACTACATAAAGAAAATTTGAAAATTATCACCAATACGACCACTAAAAGAAAACCCAGATATTGTGTCTTCTGCATTTGGGATGATAGTATGCTCTTTCTTCTGAACATGTACTAAATCCTTCATATCGCCTGAAGATATCTGAATGTGAAAATGTGGAGGTGTAATTTTTGTAGAGAATATGATATATAAGCAATGTCATGGAAGTAGGCACATGCAGTTTTGGATACATTAGTATTTGTAGGATAATTGGGAGGAGAATAAGGAAAGAAATCACTTGATCCTCACTGTTATGTTTAGGAATTATCGGTGGCTAAGAGACTGCCCAACATCAGCGATTTCTTCACGTGTGGATTCTCTTTCTTATTCTAGTTGGTGCAGTGAATAAATTTTAAATGCAAAAAATCATGATCTGAACTACCTCATTTGAGAGTGTAGGATTAGACAGCTCTATTAATATTTATGCCTCCTAATGGGCTACTTGATTTTCAGAGCAAAGCTCCAACACCATGCTTTCTGGGTTATGGCTGTGGTTACTATGGATGCATAGGAACATATATACGTACATGCAAACACGTTCCTGGAAATGAAACACAAATCACAGTGCTATAATCTCATCAGGCTTTGATCATTTATTGTTTTCAATAGTGAATACGTTACATCAGTTGTGATTTGTAAATGGCACTGATAAATTTAAGGCTTTTAAGCTTAGCAATATGAAATATTTTTTACAAATCTAAGCAGAAAGGAAAAGAGCCCAATTTAGCCTGTTACCCTGGGTTTCTGTTGGGTGTTTGTTCCAATACTCCATTTAATTATCCTAGAACTGTTTACTTATAAAATTTTGGAAAAGAGGAATTAATGCAACTCGTGCAGTTCCTATGGACTTCATTAAACGAACTTCTTTCTGTATACCTGTTTCAGCTCTGAAATCAACCAGAAAAGGACAAGCTGAGACCTGTTAAAATGTGTATTTCCACTGGCAAATTTTGTCAATTGATTATCAGATTCTTTTTTTCTAAATATGTAATGTAGAAGATAATATCAAAGTAATGGACTTGTAGACGGTATGTTGTAAAAAAAAAAAAAGATTAAAATATTATTTCTCTATGGCCATATAAATGAAAAGTATGAAATCTAAGGTGTGACCCTCCTTCTCTGTAGACCAAGCTATGTCAAAATATGTTGCGTTGCCAGCAGGCTAAGAACATGCATTTGCAGACCATTACCAGGGCTCATCGTGACTTGAGAGTGAGTCTCAAAGCCAACAGAGCCACCTTAGTGCGTATTTGGGTTTATATCAACCCT